CACCAGATTTGGTCCAAGATGATAAGGCGACCGGTAGCATTAACGACCTCTGGCCGAGCCGAAATTTCCACGCCCATATGATATTCTGCCCCATTCGTCCCCACCCAACATGTACACTCTCGAACGTGTCTTCAATTGGCACTGGCAGCTCGAGGGATCGCACAACGAGCCTTGATGACCAGAGGATCGGCCGAGGAATGGAAGCGCGAAATGGGGGTGACTGGGAGGAGAGGAGCAGGAGTCAGGTGGAATAGGAGATACAGAGGCTGAATTGCCTGGCAATCGAGGAAAATGACGAGGGAGGCTGAATGGTGATTAAGTCCAGCTTTGCGTGCCAGAGGCTCATAAGACTCGGCTTATGAAGGGCAAGAAATAGCCAACCATTCTAAAGAGTATGGCCCAGAAAAGGGTGAAGCAGATGAGGGGGCACTTTGGTTGGTTGGTTGGTTGGTTAGTTGATTGGTTGCTTGGTTGCTTGGTTGGTTAGTTGGTTGGTTGGTTGGTTGATTAGTTAGTTGATTGGTTGGTTGGTTGGTTGGTTAATTGGTTATTTGGTTGGTTGGTTAGTTGGTTAGTTGGGTGGTTGATTGGTTAGTTGATTGGTTGCTTGGTTGCTTGGTTAGTTTGTTGGTTAGTTGGTTGGTTGATTGGTTAGTTGATTGGTTGCTTGGTTGCTTGGTTGGTTAGTTGGTTGGTTGATTGGTTGATTGGTTGATTGATTGGTTGGTTAGTTCGTTGGTTGATTGGTTGGTTAGTTGGTTAGTTGGTTGGTTGATTGGTTGGTTAGTTGGTTAGTTGGTTGGTTGGTTGATTGGTTAGTTGATTGGTTGGTTGGTTGGTTGATTGGTTGGTTAGTTGGTTAGTTGGTTAGTTGGTTAGTTGGTTGATTGGTTGGTTGGTTGATTGGTTATTTGATTGGTTGGTTGGTTGGTTAATTGGTTAGTTGGTTGGTTGGTTGGTTAGTTGGTTGGTTGGTTGGTTAGTTGGTTAGTTGGTTGGTTGGTTGGTTAGTTGGTTAGTTGGTTAGTTGG